GGAGTAGCTGTGGAGCTGGAAGCTGAGAACTGGCGAGTTTCTAGTACGACTTTAGTACGCGGAGCAATCTGTGGAGCTGGAAGCTGAGAACTGGCGACTTTGTAGTACAACTTCAGTACGCGGAGTAGCTGTGGAGCTGGAAGCTGAGAACTGGCGACTTTGTAGTACAACCTTAGTACGCGGAGCAATCTGTGGAGCTGGAAGCTGAGAACTGGCGACTTTGTAGTACAACTTTAGTACGCGGAGTAGCTGGGGAGCTGGAAGATGAGAACTGGCGACTTGGTAGTACAACTTTAGTACGCGGAGTAGCTGGGGAGTCGGGAGATGAGAACTGGCGACTTGGTAGTACAACTTGAGTACGCGGAGTATCTGGGGAGCTGGAAGATGAGCAGTGGCGACTTTGTAGTACAACTGTAGTACGTACGCGGAGTAGCTGGAAGCTGAGAACTGGCGACTTGGTAGTACAACTTTAGTACATTATGCCCCATATTGTGGACATGCGACAACCGCTGGTGTTGTTGGCTACTTGTGGGTGCGCACACCTGTGTGCGCAATACCTCGTACATCCGTCGTGCGCATCACTCTCTTACACCTTCTCTCCCACCCCTCTGTTGTCGGAAGCTGATATCACTTCCTGACAAGGCCGTGTTGTAGAAGCTATTGAGACTCTGACTGCTTTGTGCTTTAGAAACTTAAGATTCGTAAAGATTCATATGTGGGGTTATCCGGTCCTTTAATTTGATTAAGTTATTTTGGCAATCCTGGTCGCCTGAAGTCTTTCAAGTGCACCGAATCCGACTTGGAAAGCTTTCTTGCCCGCGCAGCCACATGATCTTTCTACAGTACCACAGCATCTTCAATTATCCTTGCGATCGTGCTGCTTTGATAGTAGGCTTCAAACGGTTTAACGCGTCGGAAGCTGTTCAAAGTCCTCTTGCTGCTTTGCGACTTTTAGCAAAACATTCGAGAAAAAGACAGCTTGCGCAAAGTCCAGAAAAGAAGTCATCTATTTGACAAACAACTCATGGACAAATATGGCCGCAATGCCATGGGGGCAGGGCCCTCCGCATATGTGTTTCTTTCTTTTCTATATGTTTTCCACTCTCAGGTCGTGACGTTTGTGGTAGCCGGAGTAGTGGCCATACTGAAAGTCCAGGAACTGCAGAGAGCTGAGTAGCATGCAAGAAAGATCTCCATTCTTCAAATCGGACAACTCAAGATTTGTCAACACCTCCTGCCCCGAAAAAAAGCAATGGCCTCCAACCTACTAGCAATGGCCTCCAACCTACTAGTCACGGC